TTGCTTTTTCCTTCCTTCTTTCCTTCTTTCGCCCATCCCTTCCTTTTTGAAGTTTCTTCCCATTTTACATTATCTATGGTACATTTTGGATCTTATCTACTCTTTCAGCTTCTCACACCAGGGAGACAATATGATGTTTACACATGTGAGTCTGATTAATTTCACTTATGAGTATGGTCTCAAGCTGCATCCATTTACCTATAAGTCTCCAGTTTGTCCTCCCTTATGGCTGAGTAGTACTCCATTGTATAAAAATATCATATCCTTTTTATCCATTTCCTGTTGATGGGCATCTGGATTGTTTCCAATATCTAGCTACTACAAACTGTGCTGCTATAAACATGGGTATACATGCATCACTATGGTATGATGTTAATTCTTCTGGGAAGATATCCAGTAGGGGAATAGCTAAGTCAAATGGGACCTCTAATCCTAGGTTTTGTTTTTGTTTTTTTCCAGTCCTAGTTTTTTGATGAATCTCCACACTGATTTCCACAGTAACTGCACCAGTCCGCACTCCCATCAGCAGTAGGTGAGAGTTTCTTTTTCCTCACAGCCCCTCCAGCATTTGTTACTGGTTGATCTCTTGGTAATAACCATTCTTTCTAAGGTGAGATGGTGTTGTGGTTTGGGGTTTTGGAAGGGGAAACAACACAATACAGGATACTTATTTTATAATAGTCACCCAAAGAACCATACACCAAGAGAGTGCAGGAAATCTGTCCACACAATGAAGACCAAGGAATCCAGCTAAGGGCCTGGATCCCACCGTAATGTCCTGCATGAGTCCAGCTGAAGACCTAGAGCCCATAACAATGCCCCCCATGAGTCCACAGGAGGTCTAGAGCCCAAGACAATTGTGGAGGACATTCTTTAGCTACTCTTTCAATGTACTGCCTTAGGACTGACCAATGAGTTATACTGTCCTTACTAAATCGGTTGATATCCTCCCATTTGCACTGCCGCTTCCTTTGTTCTTTCTCAATAAAGAGTTACTGAAATTGGTAATCAGGCCTGCAGTCCAAGAGGCTGTAAACGCTCTGATCCCAGAATTATGCCTCTTGTTTTTCCTGTTTCTCTTACTCTTCTATTCATCCACGGCTACCGCGTTCTCAGGACCGGTTCACCCTGGGCAGAAATGGATTATTAATATGACAGACCATGTCTCATGCAGGCCTGTTTCACAGATCTGTGCTGGCAACGCCCAAAGGTCAGTGGTGGAATCTAGGAAGTCTGTGCCAGCAGAATGAAGGACCTGTGCTAGCAGGCTCAAGGTCTGAACTGGAGCCAGAAAGCGACACTCGAAGTAAGCGAGCTCAAGCTCCCCTGAAAGGTACCACTGCCATCCTCAGTGACGGTGAGCTCCCGAGCTCCTTGATGATAAAAACAGCCAAGTTCATCAGGAAAACCAACAGCTCCAATAGCTCCCAACAGCTTCTCTAACAGCTCCCAACAGCCTCAATTCTTCTCCAGGTCTGCCTCTTATGCTGCTGGCCACGATCCTCAGGTGGGCCTCCCACACCCAGCACCACGCTAGTTCAGTTCAGCTGAGCACAAGTTGACCACCAGTTGTCAATCCACCACAGATGGAATCTCAGTACTGTTTTAATTTGCATCTCTCGAATGACCAGTGGTGTTAAACACTTCTGCATATATTGATTTGCTGTTGGTATTTCTTCATCTGAGAAGTGTATGTTCATCTCTCATGCCCCATTTTTGGATTGGGTCTTTAAATTTGAGAGATCTGATTTTCTGAGTTCTTTATATGTTCTCAATAGTAATCCTTTATCTGAGAAAAAGCTGGCAAACATTTTTTTCCCACATTGTGGGTTGTCTCTTCACTCTGTTGGTGGTTTCTCTTGCTGTACAAAAGCTTTTTAATAAGATGAGATCCCAGTTGTTGATTCTTTGTGATAGTTCCTGTGCGACTGGAGTTTTATTCATAAAGTCTTTGCCTACATCAGTGTCCTTAAGAGTTTTACCTAGTCTCTCTGCCAGCAGATATAATGTTTCTGTTTTAATATTTAGATCTTTGATCCATTTCAAATTTAGTTTAGTGCATGGTGCAAGATATGGATCCAATTTTAATCTTCGGCATGTGCAGAGCCAGTTTTTCCAGCACCATTTATTAAAGAGGCTGTCTTTCCTCCACTGGGGGTGTTTGGCACCTTTGTCAAAGATAAAGTGGCTGAGTATGTCTGGAGTTGTTTCTGCATCTTCTAATCTGTTCCACTGATCTTCTGGTCTGGGTTTTTTTTTTTGGCAATACCACACTGTTTTTATCACAGTAGCTTTTTAGTATACTTTCAAGTAAGCGATTGTGATGCCCCCTGCCGTGCTTTTGTTGCCCAGGGTTGCCTTTGCTATGTTAGGTCTCTTCTGGTTCTCCTCTTTTGTTACAGCTCTTTATATCTAAGAAGTTAGCTGTCAGTTCTTCCCTCACTAATTTGACCTTTACAAAGTTCCCAGTACTCTACAACAGCTCAAAAATTCAACAGTATATACCTACCTTAAGTTTTCCCAGGGTCACCTTCTGAATTTGCCTTTCTTGTACATTTTTTTTCTTGCCAGTTCCCCCAGAATATATCACACAGCCTCTCTATTTTTGTCACTCAACTTATTTGATTTCACCTCTCTCGTGTGAGCATTTTCTTTCTCTCCTTTTTTAAACTGTGTAAGCATTTTCTGTGCTTACTGATCCTATTGGGGGTTCTTTCTACCCTTTCTCTCCTGTTACCCCCACTCTACATTATCCTCATTTCCCCCAATTACTATTACCCATCACTCTTCATTCTAGGATCTACCTAAATCAGATACTTTACCTTTTTTTGGTACCAGGACTCAAACTCAGGACCTTGTGCTTGCCAGGCAGGTGCTGTGCCACTGAGCTATATCCCCAGCCCCTTTACACGTTACATGTAAGGCCTGAAAAGTCCTGCCTCCATTCCTTTTCATAAATCATCTCCTCTGCCTGGAACATCCTACTTCCCTCAGTCTCTATGGAATGGCTCCTAAGCCTAAAGGCTAGGGATGATCTGATCCCATCTTCCTGGTCCTCAATTCAGAAACTCCTTCCCTCCTCTGAATTTTCACTCAGCTTTATTTTTCTTTATCTTAAAACAACTGTATTCTATCTGGTAGTCTTATTTATTTTGCATTTTAGATAAATAACAAGAGGCAAAGACTAGCCTTAAAAATCCTCTAATGTATCCAATACAATTGCACATTATAACTGAAATAAATATGAGCAAATATGAGTATCTACTGGGTGGACAGGGTCACGTTACTATTCTTAATTTGTCCAGAATGCTAAGGATCAGCAATTTCACAGATGGAACCTTCCTTTCAGATAAAGTTTGGAGTTTTTATTTTTGTGGTGCTAAGTATTAAAGCCAGGGCAATACACATTAGGCAAGCATTCTATTACTGAGCTATGTTCTCAGTTCCAGATATAGTTTTAAAAGACTTTTTTTGTCAGCAATATGTTTACTTGAGCTAGTGTATTCATTTACACTCTACATCAAAAACTGCCAATTTCATTCAGTTTAACAAGTATATATGACATGCCTACTGGGGGGGCGGGGTCAAGGGCTCTCACATTTATTTTTCTACAACATCTCTATAGCATCTTTCACCTTCTGCTGCATAAAAATTATACTGGAATTCTTCAAACTCTAACTGAAGCATACACAAGTTTGTTAAGCCTCCACCACACTACTTCATACAATTTATTTATGATTATTATATTTTGTTTTCAGGTTCATCTCTATAGTGTTCTTGTCCTTATATAATTTAGCAAATTGTGATACTCTAAGCCACCAGAGTAACAGTAGCGGTAATAAATTACTCTCTACTCCCTTACGAAGCACTCATAGGCTACACACTTCCTTAAGCATTTTATACATGTTAGCTTAAGTAGTATACCTGTCACCAAAATGATTTGGCAAGACAAGCATCATTCTCATTTTACATTAAAAAAAAAAAGGGGCAGGGGGCTGGACTTGTAAAAGTTACTGAACATCTCCCAGCTGGTTAAGCGACAGCTGAGAGTCAAGGCCATTTATTTAGCTCTTACCCTTACCACTATACTGATTCATGAAAAAGAATGAAGTAATGATTGAAGAAAACAGATAAAGTATAAAGAAATTACCCAATCTAGCTGTGAGGAATCAGTGAAGCTAACATTAGAAAGATAAGCTTTCACAGCTCTTATCTCTTGAAATAAAATAAAACATGACAATGGAAAGTGGAATGCAGTACCAGTTATCTAGCGCAGAAACAGCACTTGCTCACTGCAGGATACTGGGCAAACTGCTTACTACCAGCACTTTGGCTCACATTATCTACACAAGGGGGAGATATGTGAGAACACCTGTCACGAGGGAATGTGCAAAAGTTGACTAATGTACATTTCTAACATCTTTTGCTTTTCTGGAGTACAAAGTGTATAATTACAGGATCAAATAAATTTTAGCCCCAACATTGAAAATCAGTTGTGAAAAAGTCATTTCCCAAAAATGTAGAATGGGTTTCCTTATAAACTCTCATTGCAACCTGTACCTTTCCTTTCCCTTTCCTTTCTCCTTCCCTTTTCTTCTCCTTCTCCCCCTCCCTCCCTTTTTTCTCCTCTTCTCTCTTTTCTCTTCTCCTTCCTTCCTTCCTCCCCCCCTCCCTCCCTTCCTTCCGAGACATGACAGGGTCTTGCTATGTAGTGCAGGCTTGTTTTGAACTTACTAGGTCTTTAACTTGCTATGCAGGTCCAGGGTGGCCTCAAACTTGTGGCAATCCTCCTGCCTCGGCCTCCTGAATGCTAGGATTATAGGCATGCACCACTATACCTACTGCAACCTGTGTTTCAATAGCAATCTTTTGCTTAGGAACACAGTATACGCCATGGATCCATGTTCAACACCTGAATAACCTACTCTTAATACAGCTTATTACCTTACCTTTAAGCGAAGGCCCATGTTCTGAGAACTAAGTTATTCACCAAAGTAGGTAACTTTTGGCCTCTTTCACTTTGTCTTCCAACTTCCACATGAAAAAAACCCCCACAAAGTCACCAGAAATGGTCTGTCCATCAGTCCTTCACTGAGGATGTGTGTCACAGTAAGCAGAAGGTCAGTGTTTCTCAAATGAGCCGCATGAATTCCAGGGTGGAGAAATATAGCCCAGGAACACGTCATTACTGGACTTCTCTAGTGCAGGATGCAATGAACTGCTGAAGGCTTCATCTGTTCTGGTGTCCCAGCATCCTATCCTAAAAAGACAAAGGGCAAGTACAACAGGTTTTTATTCCTGAAAGAGATTCCTCAGAAAATAACAAAGAACAGGTAGAACAGGCACTGGGAACCCTACTACGGCCTGCAAACTCCGAAGAAGCATTCCCCATTGGAGCTCCATTTCCCTGAGGTCACACCAACTCCACAAGAGTGCGCTGGCAACCTCACTTCCTCTAACTATGTCAGTCCCCAGAAAGAAGCTCTAGCACTTCAGTTGACTCTAGCCCTTAGGAGATGCAAACTAGGATACAGTTTTTTAGACACTCACGGGGCCGAGGAACGACATGAAGGGAAATCAAACAAAAGCTCAGGCAGAGACAGATTTCAGAGAGCACACATGCCATGAAAAAGACTTATGATAACATTCAGCTAGAAAAGAGAAGTCACCAAAGAGCTTTAAAACCTATCTATCAAAGTTGGTGTGGTGCCCCAAGCCTGTAATGCCAGCACTCAGGAGGGTAAGCCAGGAGGACCACCTCAAGAGTTCCAGGCCAGCCTGGGCTACAAAGTGAGTTCAAGGCCAGCCTGAACTACATAAGTGAGACTCTGCCTCAAAAGATAACCAATCAATCAATCAATCAATCAATCAGTCCTATCTATCAGTCTGTGCAGTCTGCTTCCTTTGTGTCCAGGTATGCGTTTCTAAGGTATGGTTAAATGAGGCTGATGTTACTTTTAAGACAGTAAAACCTGCTGCTCCAAGCAGAGGCGGGGTCTGTGAGCTTTCAAAATAAAGTTACCAAGTCTTATCAAGTCAGTTGGTAACTCTCGAAGATATTCATGAACCAAATGTAGCAGAAAGGGGGTTTATGGCAATGCATACATGTACAGCCACCATAAAACAAATGTGAAATCAGTACATGGAAAGACACAGTCTTACCACAATGCCTGGCTGTTCTAAGTGCTTCCTGACTACTAACCCCAACACAGATACAGCTATCTTTACTTTGCTGACTAGAACATAAAAAGAGTAAGGTACTCTCTCGAGATTATATACAAAAAGGAATAGAACTCAGCCAAACCCAGACAGCCTGGACCCAGAGTTCATATTTTTAATGACTACTTCCTATTTTTCTACTATGGGAAAGCAAAGAAGAAAACATGAAATGCTACCAAGAACAGAACAGAATGAGTGAAAGCCAACAGATCAAGTAAATTGTCAAACATTTTATAATTAAAAATAAGTAAGTACACACATGTATTTTAATACATGGTGATAGACTTGCCATGTACATGAGCCAAAACCTGTGTCAACTAGCAACTGGAACCAGTTTAAAGGACACAAAAAAGAGAACAGTTAGGTAAACTGTAAGAGATGCCTATGATAGAATGCCACATAAGGGTATTTAAATGACACTTTTAAGGAACAAATACACTTGGAAATGCTTACAAATAAAATGTTAAATGAAAAAAGAGAAGCAAAGCTGTTTATTTAGTATATGCCCAATTTTAGAAATGTAACATTATACAGGAAGACAGAAAAGCTGGGCATGGTGGCGCGTGCCTGTAATCGCGGCAATCTGAGAGGCTACAACAGGATCACAAGTGTGAGCTCAGCCTAGGCCATTTAGCAAGACTCTGCCTCAAAATAAAAAAATTTAAAAAGGGTCAGTGCAGAGGCCCTGGGTTCAGTTCCCATAACCATCACCACCAAAACCAGAACAAAACAGAAGCCTTAAAGAAAAAAGCATAAAAATCTTAACAGGGGTCCTCTCTTGGTATAATAAATTACAAATAATATTTATATCCTACCTTAGTATCTTCCAAATTCTTAACGATGCAAGAACATGTAAAAAGTTTAGATACTTTTTAAGGACCTATTCTTAAAGACTTTCAGCAAGTTACCTTTTTCCAAATAAATAAATAGTATAAAGAAATTAAGCTAATAAAATGTACTGAACTTTTATTTCTATGCACTATAATTTTAGTGGGTCTGCAATAATGTGATCAGTAAATCAAGTAACTCCTAGTTCTAACATAACCTTTACTGTCCCCCCCAAGAACTGCCATGCAATGCTTTGTGACACTCATGGCTTCAAGACTTTACTCAAGCACTGGCCTCCTCTCTGGTCCAGCTCCCAAGCTTCTCTGAGGATTCTATGTAGGCCAGGCAGAGTCAATCACTTCCCTCTTTGTGATGCTCTTGTGCTGAAGATACCTTTACTATAGCATTTGTTAGTCTGTACTGTCATACTTTACACAGCAGTCTCTCCTAACAGATTATAGCTTCCTGGTGTGACTGCGCGGGTCTTACCCATCTTTCCCATCCCCTGGCTAGAAAGTGTTCACCTCTATCACTTCAGAGGCTGTATTCTCACGAGATCCTCAGGTGATTCCTACACATTTTACACTTTCAGAAGCATAGCTTAGGTAGATTCCAGAGCAGTCAGCCTGGGAAGGACCCAATATTCCTGTCTCTAGGCCAATCCACTCGTTTCTGTGAAAACAGCCATGTTCATTCACTGACATCTTCCCTGGGGAGACTGGCACCGCAACAGCAGAGGCATGAGCTTACTAATCTCTGGGGTAAAGGTCTTAGTCTTAAAGCTCTATAACTGACCTTGGTAAGTGTAAATGCATCTCTATAAATTGAAGGAAGTGTAAAAGACATTTTCTTCCCATTCTACTGTCTCCTCTTAGGAAAAGAGCTCTAAAACTCACAAAATTATGCAAATATTTGATTCCAACTCTTATTTAAAAGTATCATGTCTACATTCCTAGCCCAATTAGGAATTTTACACAATTACTTTCAAAAGAATGTATTTCATACCGTACCTCAAGGTTCAAATATTGCATCTTGGTTCCTAAAATTATTACAATGCATATTAATGATTCAGTCTCTATTGTTCAAGTGCTATTTCCAAAAAAAACAAGGACAAAACTGATGTCAAAGTCCTCTTCAGAATTCCAGTACACACGAAGCTAGTCCCACAAAACAAAAAAGGATGTAAGAAGGGAGTCTGCTTTCTAAACGTAGTCTCCACCATTCACTACGTAAAGGACCAGCCATGAGTCCAGGAACATCCAATTAAAAACACCAGATCATTCAATTAGTATAAGACCCAAAGGTTAGCGGGGTCTAAAGAGCTACAAAAAATAAAGTACGCCATCAGATACTTTGAATTCTTAGTTTACAATTATGTTGGCTTTATTTCATGCATGGTTTATTCTCCCCATCCCAAAATCCCACCATAAAATACTATCCTTCCCCATCAAGTCTATATTCTTGAAATATTTATATAGTAGTGTATTTCCGCTGCTGTGGTTCAGCCAAGTTGTAAGGTTTTCATTTATATAACTTTCCTCATCAGTCATCCCCTCCAGTCTCTTAATCATCCTTGTGGGTCTTCTGTGAACTCTCTCCAGCTGGTCCCCAGTACCCTGGTAATGAGGTGCCTTCAACTGACTGCAGCCTTCCAGGAATGGCCTGGTCAGTCTGAACAAAATGAGCTCACTCTCCTTGGTTCCACAACATTATATTCCTCAGTAGGCAATCCCTTAAATTACAGAAAGCTGGTATGCAGCCATATTAGACTATAATGCCATTCCATGACTCCCAGATTAGGGCATGCCAGCATGTACTAGAAGTCAGAGGATACATGACATCTCATCTGGTGGCATCTAAAGTATTTTACCAGAGGATGAAGTGAGTAGGGAGAAAAAATATTTTCACGTTAAAGCAAACACATAGATAATAAAATGAAATGCAACATTTCCATAAATTTCTGAAGATAAAACACAGACATGTTCAAAATATTCACAGACATTTTATACTTAAGGCCAAGAGGCTCCCAGCCCCAAGTGGTTATCATCCACTATCCTCTATTACTAGAGATATTTGAGCCAAAGTTTGAAAAATGGTATTTTTTCATTTCAAATTTTCTCAACTTCTGGTTTATAGTACTGCTCTCGACCACCCATTCCATCCTATATACTCACTTTTTTTGGAGACAGGGTCTTGCTGTGTAGTGCAGGCTGGCCTTGAACTCACTATGTAGCCTAGGTTGGCCTCAAACTCTTGGCAATCCTCCTGCCTCAGCCTCCCAAGTGCTGGGATTACAGGCGTGCGCCATCACGGCCAGCTACTCACATTTTAAGTGACATTAGTTTGCTGCTATTCCCCCAGCACTAGATATCTACATTAACTTTCTTTTTGGTTAAAATCATTTGCTAAAACCACATGATGCATTTCATCCTCTCATTCACTGACAACCAACATCTTTGAGTTCCTAATTCATTTCACATTTCTTGTGCAAGTGTTGTATGCCAGGCTGTGTGCTCAAAGCTAACATCACATAAATAAAGAAGACAGCATTCTTCCAAATTTCCCCATAAAGGCAACATTGAACCTAACCACTGAATTCGACTCGGCTCTCATCCAACTCAGTTTGCAACCAGAGTCATGGAAAGAATCAAGTTCATGAACCAAGGTACCACTGTTTAAAATGCAGTCTTTGGTGTGTGGCACTTTTTTCATTAGCGTAACTTTTTAGATTCACAGGGCTGGGGATACAGATCAGCGGCGCAGGGCCTACCTGGCAAGCGCAAGGTCATGAGTTCGATTCCTGGTACCAAAAAAAAAGTCTCGATTCAAACATACTGTTAACATGTATCAGCAGTTCATTTCTCTTTATTGCTGAGTAGCAGTCCATTAGATCGATATACTGCACCTTATTTATTCACTTACCAGATAAAGGACATTTAGGCAGTGAACACTCATGTATAAGTCTTTGTACGAACACATTTTCATTTCTCTTGGTAAATACCCAGAGACTGGACTGCTGGTTCATATGGTAAACATATTTTTAACTTGTAAGGAACTGCCAAACTGTTTTCCAAAGTAGCTACAACACACTGCATTTCTACCAGCAGGGTATGAGAGTTCCAGCTGCTCCACATCCAGCAGCACTTCCTATCATCAATCTTTAATTTTACCTGTTTTAATTGCTGGAAAGTGTATCTCAGAGGGGTTTTAACT